AACGCCGCAGGTCTTGCTGATAAATCGCCGAACAAGGTGTTGCAATATCCCGTGTTTCATCTAACAGGTCCAATGCATCTTGGCGTGCTCTTTCATTGTCCGCTTCAACATAAGTTGTCGCTCGGGGCGAGTCATGGCGAATATCACTTGGGAGAACTGCTTCTTCTCCATAAACCATGAAGAAGGGTGTATAACCCTAGATCTATTGGGGGTGGTATTAATGCTCCATAATACGGAAGGCAACTCTTCCACCCAACAACTCGGCGTCCTCTGCAAAGGGACCATGAGCCGGGGCTTGATACCCTTCAGGATTTCTTGATTAGCTCTCTCTGCTTGACCATTAGACTGGGGGGTGAGCCACTAAGGACACATCAACCCGGATGTGCTCACGTTGACAGAACTCTTCCATAGCACCCTTGGAGAGATTCGTGCCATTATCTGTTATAATGTTGTGTGGAAAACCAAAGCGGAAAATCACCTTTTTCATGAATTGAGCCGTCGTGGCCGTATCACATTTGCTTACTGGCTCTGCCTCCATCCACTTAGTGAATTTATCAACCGCCACTAGAAGGTGGGTCTTCTTATCCTTGGACCCCTTAAAAGGCCCAACCATATCCAGCCCCCAAGTTGCAAACGACCAGGTGATTGGAATCATCCTCAATTCCTGGGCCGGAACATGAGCTCGGTGTGAAAACTTCTGACAGCCATCACACTTCCTGACCAGATCCTCCGCATCAGCATGAGCTGTTAACCAGTAAAAACCGTGTCGGAAAGCCTTAGCCACCAAGGATTTTAAACCGGCATGATGACCGCAATCTCCTTCGTGGATTTCACGCAAGATCTCACAGCCTTCTTCAGGAGAAACACAACGCTGAAACGCCCCTGAGACACTGCAATGGTGTAACTCGCTATTGACAATAGTCATGGACTTGGACCGCCGGATTATCTGTCTGGCCAGAACTTCGTCCTCGGGTAACTCGCCCTGGGTCATATACGCTAGGTATGGCACTGCCCAATCAGGGGTTGCATGAAGAACCGCCACTAATTGAGCCTCCGGGTTAGGAACAGCCAGATCCTCCTCCGTTGGTATCATTAAACAAATGCAGAAACACTTAAAAAATCCATGCTATCTCTGCATAATGCTCCCACCGCATCAAGTTTACAGGCCTCACCAAGTTGGCCCATGTAAAGTTATCTTGCTGCGATCCGATGCTAGCGCTTGCAAGCTCCTATTCCATGCTCGATGCACGGAGTCACCCCAATAGTATGGACACCTTGCGCGGGCTTTTTCGTTGAGAGAAACCACTCACTACTGCTTACTTCCTGTAAATCAAGTCGCTACTATTTGTTTATGAAAAAACCAAATGGTGTTGTTTGGTTTAAAAAACAGTTTTTGACGATTTTAAATGACCATGAATTCAAACAATAGTCATAAAGTGCACATGTGTTAATGAATTTTTAAAATATTTAGCATTTACAAAAATCATGATTTTTTGTAAATCACTAATTTAAAGTATGTTTAATGATTTTGAATGTACATAAATTCAAACAACGTTCAACATTTCAAAAATTATTCAGAAATTTTAGAAGTATCAATATATATCTTAAAATAAATCATGTCTTAAAATTTTAAAACAAAAAAAACAAAGGAAAAACCCAAAAAAGTCGAAAAAGATCTAAGTCAGAATAAGGAAAATGAAGGAACGAGGAAAACCACACCTGTAGAAACCCTACTCTCAGCATTGCGCTTCAAGGCGAAGAAAATATAAATAGGCCGAGAGCCGAAGGAGACCGGGGTATTCGAGTTGTTCTGTTGCAGAATGCTTGTCTCACTCTCCACCGTGTGATTATGATCAAACGGCCGCTAGCTTCCCTCCTTGGAGTCACACATTGACCACGTACGCTGGGCCGTCCCCTCTCCCCCAGCCGGAGGAAGCTTCCAGAACCTTCAGCCGGAGCAACGGAGCGCGAGACATGGTGGTGCTGCACGTGAAATCGTCGACCTCCTCCTCGTCCTCGTCCCCGTCCCCGCCCCCGCCGGAGGTAGAGGAGGAGATTGAGTTCCTGTACGAGTGCGCCGCCACCGCCGCCGTCGCGGACGTGGCGGCCGCGCTCGCGGGCACCGCCGGCCTCCAGGCCCGCGTCCTCTCCCTCTGCCGCCGCCTCCGAGGCGAGTGATAGAATTTCCCGTCGCCGCGTCGCGCTAGCCGCTGCCTGCCACGGGCGAGAGATCGAATTCGGACTGACACGCTGCTGTTCTTGTTGCGGTTGCAGAGAGGTGCCCGAGCGGCGAGCTGGAGAGGGCTCTGTCGGAGGCCGAAGCCTACGCCTCCAAGGTATAAAGGCCTTCTCGAATCGGTTCAGTATTTTCTCAACTCAGATGCCTGGATTCGTTCCAGTTCTGTCGATTTGTTCGCGGGATTGAATTCGGAGTATGATGTTCTGTAGCGAGAGGCTTCAGGTGTGGATCGATGTCGATAGCTAGTACAATTGATTGAGTGCATCAGGCTTAGAACTGAGCTCCATGAAGGGGGGAATTGTACAAATGTGTGATTTTGTTACTTGTACTGCCCCTGCCTACTGGTGTGATGAACTTATGCTGCTGCTACATCATTCATGTACATTGTACTGAATTTACTGAATAGGATGATTAGCTGAGGTTGCACCAGCCAATAAGAATTAATGAGTTCTTTTATTTATTGTATAATTTTTATGTTGACACTGAAACATGGTTTGTTTTAATGGAGCTTAGTGTCTGGGAAGGAGTCATGTGTGTATACTTGTGAATGAACCGGTCCCGCTACTGTCTATGGCGCTTTGGCATGCAGTTTAAAGGGCTTGTAGACATTTGTTACATTAACAAGTGAAACCATTGATTTTTTTTTGTTTGAATAACGATCATTTCAGAACTTTTATTTAGTCTTCAAGAAAATGGAGATGATGAAAAGCTAGCTTCTGCTATGTCACAGACCATCGACAGTTTGCTACATAAAGGCCGCTGGTTTGGCCTAGAGTTTCTTAGCGCGTTCCTGCGTTTGCTTATTTGGTAGCCAGAACTTTCGTGTTTTAGGAGTCTTGTACATTGGTTTGACTTCCCTCTCAGCTACATCGTGTAATAATTGTTTCTGAACATGCCCATGTAATTTGCTTCGTTCTTGGTCAGTATTTCCAGATTGGGAAATGAAAGCTAAATTAGCCCTTGCCTTATTATTAATCAAACAAAACTCTTTAAGAATTGATATATCATGATAGTCCTTGCTGAAATGTTTCGGTTGAAGAGTTGAGACTTGAGATCTATACGAATCTTATTCCAGGTACAAGTACGTCATAACAAATTCGTGTCCCCTCGTGCTCTAAGGGAACATATCAAGAATATTGAAAAGACAGCTGCTAATGCTCTAGCAGACAATTCGGAGGCCCTCTGTCCGCAACATCCAAAATCAGGTAACGCGAATGAGTTTAGATCCCAGAGATGCAAATTTGCGAAAACTGTAATGTAGATACAGTATTCCTGGAGAAAGGCTGAATTCCACAATACATAGGTTATTCTGTATATTTCCTGGTTTCATTGAGCTATCTGAATCTCTTAAAAGCGTATCAACCTTTATTCAACTTGACAAAGTTTCCTTTAGAATTTGAATTTATTTCTCCATTTTCTCTGGAACGCGGGATATCCTCTTCTTAGTATTTAATTCGTTCTTGTAAACAATATCCAGATGAAAAGCGTGACAGCATACAACTTTGGTGGGCTGGAAAAGAGCTAGCTATGGATAAGAAGCTATCTGACTATATTGGTGTTAATGACAAAACAAAGGTAACACACAACTGTATTGCCCATGACATCTGCTTCAGTTTGTGATTGATTTTTTTTACTAACATTGTATTAATCTATGCAGATTGTCATCAGGCTAAGCCTCCCAACGAGCCTTTAGTGTGGTCCTGTCGGTCGTTGATATTGCCTATTACTCCCTCTGTATCAAAATACAAAACATTTTTTATACTCCCTTTGTATCAAAAAAGAGTATTGAAAAACGTCTTATGTTTTGATAGAGGGAGTAGTGAATTTTTCTTTTGAGTAGTATATGCATTTATGCAAATTAGGCACATGTAAGTTGTTTGCATTTTCGTGAGAAAACAAACAGGCACCATCTTCAGCTTCATGTACCAATAGACAACATGTATCAACAGGTTAAAACAGTCACAGTATAATCACTGAATGTTTCATTGTACAATGTTCAAAGGTATTTCTGGGCATCAAGCTGTGAGTGAGTAATACATTTGATCATGATTCAACTCTGTGTGTACAATAAGACTAGCTAAGAGAGAAAATTGCATTTCCTGCTAAATGATCATCACTCGTATGATCTTTTGAAGCTGGGAGGAGTATGCAATCTGGTGGTAGACAAACTCATTGTGCAAATTGCTTGTTATTCAGAATGGTGCCCTGATTATATTTTCTCGTGTCCAGAGAAGTAGTCCAACTTATCTAGCATTGCAGCAACTGCCTACATGATGGCCCCGCCTGAACATGTCTGCACCGTTTATCTTCAATCTGGTTCAACTTTTGCTGTTGTATTTAGCTTGCTTGTCCTCACATGGATGTCTCTTGAGCTCCAATGAACAAACACGCTCTGAGCAGCAAAAAGTGAAGCATTTTTTGGGTATCTAGGTTTCTTATCACTGAGCAGATAGACTGTGCCACATTGCAGGAAGGCTACAGGCATCTTAAGCAGGTGCTTTTTATCCCTTTCTTAGTTCTTGATTTTACATTTGAGTAAATTTTGCTTACCATTAGTGCCATATATTATAGAAAAACATGTGTGCTTCTGTCGAAGGCCAAACCAAAATGTGTGGTACTCCTATAATTGTTGGCAAAATACACTCAAGGTTCTGTGAAATTCGTTCTGGATTGAGAAACCAGAGAGTATGTGCATTGCTGCAATCATGGAGCTGTCCATCGTGAGATTATACACGTGACATATGGCCGGTGCCTTGTCTGAATGCAACTCTTGGCGTTTGCAGACGGAGGAGTCAGGACTCAGGCAAAACCTACACTGTTCAGGATTCAGCAACCAGCCAAGGAACATATCAAGAATATTGAAAAAACAGCTGCTAGTGCTCTACAAGAGACTTCAGAGGCCTTGTGTACACAACATCCAAAATCAGGTAACAAGAGTGAGTTGAGGTACCAGAGATGCAAATTTGCGAAAACTGTAATTTAGATACAGTTGTCCTGGAGAAAGACTCCACAATATATAGGTTATTTTGTATATTTCCTGGTTCACTGAGCTATCTGAATCTCTTAAAAGCATATCAACCTTTATTCCTCCATTAGAGTTTTAATTTATTTCTCCATTTTCTTTGGAACACGGGATATGCTCTGCTTACTACTCAATTCGTTCTTGTAAACAATATCCAGATGAAAAGCTTGACAGCATACAACTTTGGTGGCCTGGAAAAGAGCTAGCTATGGATAAGAAGCTATCCGACTATATTGGTGTTAATGATAAAACAAAGGTAACACACAGCTGTAGTGCATGACATCTCCTTCAGTTTGTGATGGATATTTTTTTTCTCTAACATTGTATTAATCTATGCAGATTGTCATCAGGCTAAGCCTCCCAATGAACCCTTAGTGTGGTCCTGTCCGTCATTGATATTGCATAGTAGTGAATTTTTTGCAGTTTATGCAAATTATCCGCTTGTACGATGTTTTTCATTTTTATGAGAAAGCAGGCAAGCATCCTCTCAGCTGTATGTACCAATTGACTACCTGTATCAACAGCTTAAAACCATGAATGTATAGTCATTTAGTGATTCCAATAGTACTATATTCAAGTTATTTGTGGGCATCAAGTTGTGACTGCGACACTTGAGCATGATTCAACTTTGTATATGCAATAAGACTAGCTGAGAGAGAAGATCGCATTTCCAGCTAAGTGATCATCACTCGTATGATTATTTTTCAAGCTGAGAGTATGGAATTAGATGGTAAACTCATATCTGCAAATTGCTTGCTATTCAGAATGGTGCCATGATTAGATTTTGTCTGCGTCCAGAAAAAGTAGTCCAACTTATCTACCATTGCAGCAGCTGCCTACAGGAGGGGGGCCCCTGAACATGCCTGCATTATTTATCTTCAATCTAGTTCAACTTTTGCTCTTGTATTTAGCTTGCTTGTGCTCATGTGCATGTCTCTTGAGTTCCATTGAACAAACACGCTCTGAGCAGGAAAAAGTGAAGCATTTTGGGGCATCTTGGTTTCTTATCAGTGATAGCCTACGTACCATATACCAGGAAAGTTGCAGGCATTCTAAGCAGGTGCTTTTGATCCCTTTCGTAGTTCATGATACCGTATTTGAGTGCATTTTGCTTAATACTCCCTCCGTCCCAAAATAAGTGTCTCAAGTTTAGTACAACTTTGTACCAAAGTTAGTACAAAGTTAAGACACTTATTTTGGGACGGAGGGACTGTTTGTTACATGTGTTACTGAAAAATATGTGTGTTTCTGTCGAAGGCAAAACTTTTACTCCCATGGTTTATTCATTTCAAAATACCTATGGTTCTGTGGAATCAATTCTTGATTTGGAAACCAGAGAGTATGTGCATTGCTGCAATCATGGAGCTGTGCATTGTGAAATTGTACACGTGACATATGGCCGGTGCTTGTCTGAATGCAATCAGAGGAGTCAGGAATCAGGCAATGCTACTCATGGGAAACCAGCACTGTTCAGCAACCGGCCAAATGTATGGTTTTGCCATGTCTCTCTGTCTCTCCCACTAAGGTTAACCTCTACTTGTGCGAGGAAATATATTAACCTGTAGTGCTGATGTTGGAATTCAACAGGTGTGGGGAAGATGGCGCCTCTCTGTCCACAGGTATTAAATCCTGTTTTGTCTGATCCCCTGTCTTATACCTGTAGAAATTCTTATGGCGAGATCTGTCCGAATTTTATTCCAGGTACAAGTACGTCATAACAAATTCGTGTCCCCTTGTGCTCTAAGGGAACGTAATACAGCTGCTAATTCTTTACAAGAGACTTCGGAGGCCTTTCCTGTCTGCAACATCCAAAATCAGGTAACACGGACGAGTTCAGATAACAGAGATGCAAATTTGTGAAAACTGTAACGTAGATATGGTTGTCCTGGAGAAAGACTGAACTCCACAATAGATAGGTTAATTTTTATATTTTGTAGTTTGAGTGAGCTATCATAATCTTTTAAAAACCTATATCAACCTTTATTCAACTTGACAAAGTTTCCCTTGAGAATTTAAATTTATCTCTCCATTTTGTTTGGAACACGGTATCCTGTGCTTATCGTTCAATTCCTTCTTGTCAACAATATCCAGATGAAAAGCATAACAGCATACAACTTTGGTGAGCTGGAAAAGAGCTAGCTATAGATAAGAAGCTATCTGGGTATATTGGTGTTAATGACAAAAAAGAGGTAACACACAGCTGTAGTGCATGGCATTTGCTTCAGTTTATGATTAGTTTCTTACTACTTTGTATTGAATTATGCATATTGTTGTTGCTAATTATTCGCATGTAAGCTGTTTTTCATTTCCATGAGAAAACAAGCAAGCAAGCATCCTCTTCACCTGTACGTACCGATTGACAACATGTATCAACAGCTTAAAACAATGACAACATGTATTTGTGGGCATCAGGCTGTGAGTCATACATAAATCATGATTCAACTGTGTGTGTGCGCGCAATAAGACTAGCTAATAGAAAAAAATGCATTTCCTGCTAGATGATCATCACTTGTGTGATATTTTGAAGCTGGGAGTATGGAATCAGATGGTAGACACACTCATATCTGCAAATTGCTTGTTATTCAGAGTGGTGCCCTGATTCAGTTTTGTCGTGTCTAGAGAAGTAGCCCAGCTTATCTAGCATTGCAGCAGCTGCCTACATGATGGGGGGCCCTGAACACCTCTGCACCATTTATCTTCAATCTGGTTCAACTTTTGCTGTTGTATTTAGCTTACCTGTCCTCACCTGCATGTCTCTAGAGCTCCCAATGAACAAACACACTCTGAGCAGCAAAAAGCGAAGCATTTTTGGGTATCTAGGTTTCTCATCACTGATAGACTATGTACCACATTTCAGGATGGTTGCAGGCATCTTAAGCAGGTGCTTTTGATCCTTTTATTACTAGTTGATCATTTTATATTTTATATTTTCTACGGACATACTTTAGTGATCTAAACGCTCTTATATTTCTTTACGAAGGAGAGAGTAACATGGAAGGACATGTGTGTTTCTGTGATTCTGTCGAAGGCGAAACACAACGTGGGGTACTCCTATAATTATTGGCAAAAACATACTTGAGGCTCTGTGAAGTCCATTCTGGATTGAGGAACCAGAGAGTATGCGCGTTGCTGCAATCATGGAGCTTCCAGTGGCGAGATGAGATTATACACACACGTGACATATAGCCGGTGCCTGTCTGAACCCAACCCTTGGCGTATGCAACCGGAGGAATCAGTCAGGAGTCGGGCAACGTCACTCGTGGGAAACCTACACTGTTCAGGACTCAGCAACCGGCCAAGGTATGGCTTTGGCATGTCCCCCTCACTGAAAGATTAACCTGTCCTTGTGTTAAAAAAAAGATTAACGCGTGGTACTGACGTTGGAGATTAACATGTGGTAGTACTGATGTTGGAATGCAACAGGTGTGTGGGGGGAAGGAAGATGGCGCCTCTCTGGCTGTCCACAGGTATTAATCCCGTTTTGTCTCATCCCCTGTCTTCTACTGTACTACTACCCGTAGAGGGAAAAAAATGCCTGCCTGCCTGCACATAATACAGTATAAAATTACCGCCCTAAGTGTCACATGAGACTAGGTAGTAAGTTTGTTGCTTCATGGGGCATTGAAGCCCGCCTCTGTCCTGTCCTGTCCCGTCCCGTCCTGCCTTGCAGTTAGTTGCATTTCACTGTGCTGCTTGTCTAGCCTACCACCACTACTGCCATCAGCACGATAAACAAGCATATCTCGGTCCATGGGTTCAGTGAGATGCCCGTATTACATTATGCGTTCTCTCCATAACTTTGACCCCTCGGTCAAACCGTCTGCCACCCCTGTCGTTCTCCTACTACAATGCATTGAAAATAACCAATGTTGTGTTGTACCAGATGCTAGCAAGCAACCCAACAGTGGCTCCATTGTTCCTCTGCTTCACCCCTGCCGCCTCCATGGTATTTTCACTTTTTTCAGGCTTGCAAATACGCCGGTGGCCGAAAAACAATACTTACAGTACAAGCAGCGGCACTTGGGTCTACCGTTTCTGGATGCTGATTCCGCGCTTTGGGTCCGTATCTGTGCGTGGCCTCGCTCGCTGGAGCCCAGGAGGAACCGAGGAAGGAAGCAATCATTCTGCACGGCCGGCTAGCCATGGATGGGCTCGCGCACACGAACCAAAGCGGCGAGCGCTGCTGCCAGCGCAAGTGGAGGGGGAGGCCCCTTTTGCAGCGGTTTGTTGCGATTGGAAATCTCTCTCCAGCTTTTCCCCTCCGCCCGAGCAACAGAAAGGCGAGGCCTTTTTCCGAATGGCCACCGGGAAGGAAGATTCCCTCTGCCTGCGTTAGGGTTTCGTTCGCTCGCCCCATGCGGTCCGGTTCCAAGATGCTGCTGTTAACTGTCACTCGGAGATGGACGGTGAAAGGAGGGGAATCTCCCGTGCGCTTTGTGTTTTCTCTCCTTGGCTCCGGCTCGTGCTCGGCTGGGCCGGGCCGGGCCTGTGGTGGTGGTGGTTGTTGTGGTGTGCTTGCGTTGCGTGACAATGACACGTCCCGATCAGAAGGAGATGGAGGACAAGCCGTGGTGGAGGGGAGGAATGGGGAACTGGCAATCATCATCACAAGCCAAGGCTGCGAGCCTTTTGGCCACCCTATTGTGCTATGTGGCTTTGTCAGTGACTCATCAGCGCCCTATGCAGCATTGCTTGCTACCTTCCAACTGTTCCAGGTATCTCTGATACAATACATAATTAGTTTCCAACAAACAAATAAAGCTAAGTATCTCTGGTAGGACACAATCCCAAAAGTTCAAATGATTTCTTGAGTAGTACGTACTAGTTACAATGCCCACATTGTAGTTTTTAATTTGCAAGAGTGTACTTTGCAGTAGTTTATGCTTGGCTATTCCTTTTGGATGTGCAGATAGGAGTATAGGACGGTCATCTAACCATCTTCACCACAACAAAAAGCTTTGGATGATTTCTACTCCATTGGCCGGCCATGTGTAAGCTCAAAGAAAAGCAATCATTTTCCATGGGAGTGGTACATCAAAGAACCATGGGAGTGGTACATCACAGAGCCTTTGTTTTGAAGCCAAGGCATGGCGAGATGCAGCGTGGAGCAGAAGTTGGCAGAGGCATGGAGATCGAGCAATGTGTGCGAGGTAGGTGAAATCATGCATGACCCTAATTTATAACACCAGATTGGAATGAATATTTTGCACAGGAGAGGGTATGGTCAAGTAGTGTGTACTTTGAGTGGAATCAAATCTGCCACCGAGTCAGTGCCACCCTAGCACACCATTCATCAGCACAGCGCCGTACGCTCACCCCTGCCCCCACACACAATAGTTTGTTCACTCAATGTGGTGTAGCAATGCCATATGATG